CGCGCATGGCGCTGCGCAAGGGCAGCTTCGGGCTGCCCAGCCAGGCCGAGTTCCTGCGCAAGAGGAACCACCTGCTGCGCACCATCTCCTCGCAGCCTGCCGCGCACCGGCCCGAGCGCACCCAGAGCCAGTCGGACAGCGACAAGGACAGGGACAGGGAGCGCAGCCAGCGCAGCATGAGCATCGCCACGGGCTGCTGGGGCCGCAGCGCCGCGTCCCGGCTGGAGTCCGGCCTGCTGGGGCAGAAGTAGCCAGGCCGGAGCCGGGATTGTCAGCTGCAGCCACTGGAGGAGAAATAAAGGGAAAGAGGGACGAGGCCGGTGTTTCGGGCTGGAAGGGTAAATATGGTGCTACTCTAAACCACGGTGTTCTGGGAAGAGATGGGATGTTCCCCACACGGAACGTGCAGGCCTTGCAGCGGGAGCGGGAGCCCGAGGAGCAGCTGGAAATCGGGGGGGAAGTCTCCAGGTCAGGACGGCGCTCTCTCCTGCCTCCTCCTCTCATCCAGGGTCAGTGACTGTAAATAGGTGCCTCCTCGCCTTGTTAGCCATCACACGGTGACCGAGCGCTGTCCTCAGAGCCACAGAACAGGGCACGAGGCTGGGGGAGCTCGTTCTGGGCTGTCCCGGGAGTCAGGTGGGGGCTCTGGGGTTGGGGACGCCGCTCCCCCGGCCCCAGCGAGGGATTTGTGCCAGGCAGAGCCACCGAGAGCTTTCCCTGGACAGAGAGCTCCACGTGCAGCCACTTTCTCGAGGGGCTGGTGCAGTGCAAAGCTGAAGCTGCATCGAGGCCAATGGCAGAGGCAGAATGTCGGCAGATTCGTGCCCAAAACAGCGGGGTCATTCTTGTTATTACTGTTATTTTTTAAACAGATCTTTTAGAAGCCGATGGAATTTAATGTGGTGACCTATTAAAAGAGGAATACAAGCTATTTTGTTTGAGCTGTTACAAACCTCAGACACTTAATTGCTGTTAAAGTCTCCAAATAGTCTCGCTATGTATTATTTCCGGCAAGTAACCACCATATATTTGGAAGCAGCTGAAGGCACTCAGCAGCTGGATTGCATTGCAGTTCTTCTCATCCAAATGCAGGGTCTGACTCTCTCAACGTCCACCTCTGAGACCTTTCTTCTTCCCAGGTTCTCTCCAAGTTCAGTAGCAGCTTTCATGGGAACCAGACTCGCTTCTTATACCTATAGTTACTGAACTGTAAAACCTCATTGTTTTTTGCACTGATGATTTTTAGAATGGAAACCTGTTACCATCTCATGTAGCTACACCAGTGTTTGTAGTGCATGACAATGAAATATCGCTAAGCCAGGGTGTGTGTGGATACCTATACATATATACACACACACATATATATATATGTATATATTTAAAAAACCAGAAACAATCTGTGCAGAAGTTTTTCCAGCAGTAAGGAGACTGTAAGGAAGTGTGCCAACAATGTCAGGCAACCTTAAGAAAAGGCCATATCTTAATTTTTCTGGTGTGTTTCTCAGTGGATGTGCCTGAGGCACTGGGTTTGTGCTGCTGGAGCGAGCTGGCGGGCGCATGGCAGAGGGCTGGCACCCCAGTGACACCCAGACAGGGACAGAGAACAGTGCCTGGAGCCAGGGCTTGCCAAAAAGCCCCTCAGTCCTGTCCCTGCCGGGGCCAGCAAAGGTTCCCTCCTTGCACACACCTCCTGGGGCAGAGGGGCATCCACACAGGGGTTCCACGGTGCCCATTCAGACTCCAGCTGGCCTCTTCACGTGGAGATTTTCTAGTCCTACTGAGCTCCCTGTGTGTAACCCTGCTTTCCCCACCACACTCTCCTGTCTTTATATCACTTTCTACTTACGAGGATCTTATTTATACCAGAGAATTTTTTAGACTGGCTGCTTCATTTTGTTACCAGTTTCAATAATCACGGTGCAGGACGGCCGCACTGAGACACTCAGCACTGTGAACGCTGCTCTGCTCGCTGCCTCTGGGCCACGGTGGACAAATCCAACTCATCCAACTCCTGTGTTCGTGGTGTGGAGGGTCCAGGCCGAGGCAGAGCAGGGACAGTGCGGAGCTGCCGCCGGCATCAGAGCCCCTGGAGCGCTCAGACCCGACTGCAAAACGTTTAACCACTTCTCTTTGGTAATTATCCGAGTACAGAATGTACCTGATGACTTTTTGTTACCAGAAACTGACTTCCCTTTCTGCTGACTCAGCGTGGCTCTCTCTGAATGTACATCCAGAGCTTTTACTGGGTTTGGAAACAATGAGAATTTGTCCCAGCTTTTTGCTAGCCGAATGTTCTATCAAACAGATGCCATCTGAGTAGGAAGCCAAGCCACAATCCATCCTGTGAAGTCACCAAACCACATCACTAAATAATTTCTGCAAATTTGGATATGGCCTTTGCAAAATTCACCTCTCCTCCAAGTCCAGAACCGAGACATGACCTGTACATTTTCCAGTTGACGAGATGTTCACATTTTCTTATGTGTAGATAGTGTAAAACAGAGGCGAATGTAAATGTTCAACATAAAAAGTGGATATATAAAATTGAAAGTTATTTATTTATGTAGAGGGAAAAAAAATGTCTGGAGGGACTTGAACCTTCAGGGTTTATTAATATTTTAAAAATGTAGCTTTTTGTTTCAGGCATTATGTACAAAGCAATTATTTTATGGACCAAGTTTAATGTAACTGTCAATGAATGCAGAAGTGCAATATGATACTCACCCTCTCCATCACGTCATGTTTTAAACAGCTCCTGACCAGTTAGCCTGACAATCACAGCACCTCTGTCCTCATCCTTTGTTGAGCTTCTTGAACCTTGCCCGGGTCCTTCCCCGGGCCCCCATCCGTTGCCATTGTACGGATCCAACACGGAGAAGCAATTGTAGAGCAGGGCCTTTATTGCTGCAATAACTCCCTGGGAGGTGGGTGGAGTTACCAGGAAATAATGATGCCACTAAGTTTTTCCTCACCAACTCAGTCCATCCCCGTCTCCATCGCTCAATCCTCAGCCGCCCCCATCTGGCACTCATCCCTCTGAAGCAGAATCCACACTGACAGAACAATAGCAATAGTTTCACTCTGTGTTTATAACCTGTTTGTCCCAAGCTGTTTTGGAGAGCAGTGCACGTGACCCGATGCCTTTCCACGTGGATGGAAGAGGATCCCTTTGGACGTGGTGAGGGAAAGATGAATGTAAATTCCATCCTTACTAAAGGGGCACTGTCAGGGTAAAGACCTAATTTATTCTTGTTAGGAGTAACTTGTTTGCTTTGAAAGGAGAGAATGGGAAGTTTATTGTCCTCCTCCCTGGGCCGTTGTCTGGGCAGCCCTCGGGGACAGCCCACGTCCTGTTCTGCACATCAGCACAACACAGCCTCGGGCTTTGGGGTTGCTTTTCTGTTTCCATGGGAATCAAACTCTGCTGCAGAGCTCAGATTTTTTACAAAAAGCAGCTTTTTATATTACTGCACCCTTAGGCCGGACTTTCTACCTGATGCTGTCCCTTTAAAGTCTTTTAAAAAACCAGAGAGAGGAGCCCGTGCATTCCCTCCTAGTCGTTTTCCTGGGTTTGCTCAATCACTCAGTCAGATGAGGCGAAATCCTAATACCAAAAACCATTTACAGTGTCAGGGGCACGAGCCCAGAGCAGGAATCAGCCAAAGGGTCACCACCACCCTCCCAGCAGCCGCCGTGCTTGCTGTAACAGCCCCTTCTTCAGGTATCGCCACTGTTTGCTGCATTTCCTATTAGTTCTAGAAGCCTTACGGTCCCCTAACTCTGCCTGTTGATACCCTCAACTGTCAATTTTATATTCCAACAATGTTAGTTATATTTTATTTATAAAAACTTGCTCTAGGGGTACCAGCTGTGCGTGGGGAAGCAGCGGGGGATGCCCGAGGGCGCCGGGGCCGCCCCGCGTGTGCCGTGCCCGTGACTCGCGTGTGTGTGGCAAACCTTGTGTACAACTTCCTTCTCCTCCTTGCTGTTAGTGCATCGTTCCAATGCCTGGTGTGCTTCGTGTACAGTACCATTGTGAGTTACACAGATTAAAGAAACGGGAAGGCTTTTCTCTGTCTGCTTTTTTTGGGCTGGGGGAGTACTCCAGGAACAGACAAGTCATCAGATGTGAGCAGGTGCCAGTTTAATGGAGTTACAGCCATGAACAGAATGAGGAAATCCTCTGTGGAGATCAGTCCTGCAGGACCCATTTGTCCTTTAACCCATTTGTCCTTTTCTTTTTTACAGTTTGCAGATTTATGGACTTCCCAGCAAGGGAAAAGGCTGCTGTGCTTGCTTCAGAGCAGCCCTGGGCCCTGAGCAGCCCAGAGCCCTGTGCTGTGGGGAAGGGACACAAGTTGCATGCAGGAGCAGAGAGCAAGGCAAAGCCACCCCTGCACAAAGCACACCTGCACAGGTGCCAGTGCAGTGTGCCAGGTCAGTGCTCCCCTACCCGAGGAGGTGAAGCTGCAGGAGGGCTGGGAGAAGCCCTGGGGCACAGTGGAGGGTGGCACTCAGGGCTCAGAGGAGCTGCAGCCTGAGCAGAGCCACAGCCACTCCTTCTGAGCAGGCTCAGGGAGTGCAAAGGGTCTGTGAGCCAGATCCAGCAGGGAAAGGGCCATGGGCAGCCCCTGAGGGGAAGAAGTGGCAGCCAGCTGTGTTTGGTGGCCCTGGTACACCCTGTCCTGGCCACAGCATTGGCTCCTGCCCCCCAAAGCCCAGAGCACCCTGAGGTGCTCAGCACCCTCGAGCCTGTCCCCTGGGTGCTGCTGAGCTCCTCCAGCATCCAGAGGAGCATTGGGGCAAATGGCTCAGGTGCATTACAGGCACACTGGCCTGAGTGGGACAGGGAGGGGAGAAGCTGTTTACTGGGAGAGGAGCCACTAAAGTCACTCTCCTTCCCAGTCAGTAACTTACAGAGCAGCTGGAAAGGGCCCCTGGGGAACACCTTGACACGGTGCTGTCTGCGTGCTCCAGAGGCTCCCCCGGGCTGGCAGGGGCACAGGACGGGCTCCAGGGCTGGCTGGGGCCTGCCCTCACTGCAGCATCCCCGTCCTCACCTGGAAGGCCAGCCCATCCCCACGGGTGGCTTGCTGCAAGGGACACACAGCACTCACAGCACTCCCTGCCAGGCCTGCAGGGCCACCAGCACCACCCGGGGGCCCTGGCAGCGCTGCAGGCTCAGCTCATGCCCAGGGTGGGAACACAACCCCTCTGGGTGCAGCAGCTCCCTGGCTGTGCCCAGTTCCCCTACCTTGTTAATCTCCTTGTGTCTCTCCTTGCTGACGATTTCTTCCAGGACTTCCCCGTCCCCCTTAATGAGCCTGCAAGACAAACACAGGCCCAGGAGCCCTGAGGGTACTGGCCAGGTCCTGCAGCTGCAGAGGTGTGACCTGCTGTGCCCCAGCTCCCCAGACCAGGAGCAGGAGCTGGGCTGATGCACCTCCAGGCAAGGCCAGGGCTGACCCACCCCTGACACTGCATTTTGGGACTTTGTTTTTGTGTCAAGCTTAAACAGCACAGCAGCTTTGCCATTGCTCCCGTGGGATTAATGTCACCACACTGCAGCAAGGACAGGAGTGCTCCCCTGAGAGCTGAGGGCCAGCTGGCTCTGCCCCAGGCTGTGGGCACTGCCTGCTGTGTGCAGTCAGCCACACTGGCACAGCAAACACTTCTAATGAAAGCATCCCCTACAATCCACAGTGCCTCAACCCATGCAAAACCTCTTCGTTTTTTCATAGAATTCAGGTGTGGTCCTGGCTGCCCCAGGAACCTGCAAAGCCATTCAGGAACAGGAGCCAGTTTGGGCCTGAAATGCAGCCAGGCTGGGGAATATCTTGCTGAGCAAATTCCAAGCAGCGTTGGAGGCGGCTCACACCTCCAGACATGAGCAGGAATTTAATTGTCTTCATTATGTGCCTTACAGGGAACCGACCTTTGTTCCACACCTCCCTGAGCCCTGCAGGCTGCCTGCTATTTTAAGACTGGACTTGTCATACCCAATTCTCTTCAGCATGACGTTTTCTGCTTGCTGAGAAGATGCAGTTTATTAAAAACTGGGTCATTTCTATTTGGCAGCTAAAGGAATTTGGGTTTGATCACTGTCTGTAACCCCACAGGGCACATGCTCCTCACTCCCACCTGGGTGTTACCAGGGCCCAGGGCTTTGGAGCTGAAAGGTGAGTGGATGCAGCAATGGGATACTGGGACACAGCCCAGAGTGCCTTGTGTGCACACAGTTCAATGCTTTGGTGTCACTGTGTCACTTTCTGGGTAAGTCACACCAGGCCTGATGAGGAGGGAGCTGTGAGGGGTTGGCTCAGGCTGAAGGGGTTCAGGTGTGGTGCTGCAGTGCCATGGACAGGCATCCCCCAGGCCCCCAGCCCCCCCAGCCTGGATGGGAATCTCCCATGCCCCTGTTCCCAGGGCCATACCTGGTTCTCCCTGTCTCGGGATCCAGCACTCTCCTGATGACGCTCTGCCTCGCATCCCACTCCTCCTTTGTCATTGGCTTCATGGCCTGGATCCGGGACTTCTGCTCGTCTGTCAGAGCTGGGTGCAGGGCTCAGTCAGAGCTGTGCTCCAGGACAGGGCCCAGCACAGGGCTGCAGCCCATGGACAGCATCCCACACCCCATTCCCAGGGTGTGGTGACAAACCTCCCAAAGAAAGGGACACTTCACATCCCTTTGGAGCAGCTTTGCCAGGATTTACTGCTGACTGTGTCCTTCCATTTGGCCTCTGTTCCCCACTATAAACCACATCCTGACACTTTACAAACCAATGAGTGTGGCTCAAAGGTGGGCACTGTACACAGGAGGGAAGGGAGCTTGGGGCTCCTCCCTGCACCCAGCCCTGCTTCCCTCAGACACCCCAGATGGAAAGGGACCAGCAGAGGCTCCCCCAGGAGGGAAAGAGCTTCATTACCTGGCCCAGAGTCCACCACTGACTCCTTCTGCCACTGCTCCAGCGAGGGGCCAGGCACCTCTTCTCCCTTGGCTTTCTCCTCCTTGGCCTTCTCCTTTGCCTTCTTCTTTGATTTCTTCTTTATTTTTTTCTTCTTCTTCTTCCTCTTCTTTTTGTCTTTCTGTTTCACTCGCTTTTTTTTGCTGTCTTGACTCTTCTTTGCTTTGGAGTCACTGTCACTGGAGTCATCAGAAGAGGAGCTGGAGGAAGAGGAAGATGAGGAAGAGCTAGTGGACGAAGGTGTCCCAGAGGAAGAGGTACTGGCCTTCCTCTTCTTTTTGTCCTTTCCTTCCTTCTTCTTTTCTGCAATTCACAAGAAGAGTGTGAGAGGAGCAGCCCTGGCCCTGCAGAGCAGAGATGTTGTTCTTTACCCCCCTCCCAGCCTGGATTCTTTCCTGCCTGGAATTCCCCTCTGTGCCCACGTTAACCCAGGATGCTCTGTGGTACCAGGGCAGCTCAGGGAGGGGCTGAGGGCTCTGAACTTGTCAGAATGAGACCAAAGTGGGCACAAAGTGCAGGACAAGGTGACAGACACCAGCTGAAACCAGGGACCCTCTTCTCCCCCTGGGCCCTCTCTGTGCCCCTGCCCCAGGGACAGGTGGTGTGAGCAAAGGCTCAGGGGCCTTCCCACCTTCCCTGGCTGCTGCCAGGCTGGAGCTGTGTCCATGAGAGCCAGAGATCCTCTTCCTCGATGGAGAGCTGCTGCCCTGCTGCGAGTCCTTGCTGCTCTTCCTCCTTTTCTTCTCCTTCCTCTCCTGCCTGCTCCGGGAGCCGCTTCTGCTCCGGCTCCGCGAGCGCTTCCGTGAATGCCCGTGGGCCATGGCAGCTCCTGGGGAAAGGGGAAAGGAGGGGTCACATCAGAGCCACGGGGGCACCAACCCTGCCAGCAGCCCCAAATCCTTCACTGCAGTCTGAAACAGCAGCCAGGAAAACCTGCTCCAGGTAACCTCCCTCCCTGCTGATCCCCCATCACAGCCTTGGGAATTCCACCAGCCCCCAGCACCAAGCCTGGGCAGGGAGCTGGCACAGGGACACCCTCAGCTGCCTCAGACCAGTGTCCCCAGGCAGGTTTCCCACCAGGAAATCCTTCCAGCAGCTTTTCCCTGCGCTCCTGCTGTTTGTCCCTGGAGGACTGGGCTGACCCCGCTGGGGCAGGCACGGAGCAGGGCTGTGCCTGTGATCACGCCATGGTCACCCCATGGCACCAGGAGCCAGCAGGAGAAGCTGCACCACAGATGGACCCAGGCAAGGGCTGATGGACACTGCAGCCACAGTCAGCAGAACAAAATGTCCTCCCTGAGTCAATCCCCCGTTACTTAAAATGCTGCGAGCAGGCACAAGCCAAGGGGAAGGATGAATTTTTAATATTCCAATTTACTCTTAGAAAACAGATGATGCACTGAGCTGCTCCCCCTGTCCATCAGCCCCAGGGATGCCGGCGGCCCCAGGGCAGTGTGATCCATGCTCTCATTAATTTAAAAACAAACTGGCACCGTGGGCAGAGCAGGAGCTGGGACGCTTTCTCACAGCCACCTTCCAACCAGCACATTTAATGAATTGTTTGTTTACCACCTCAGCATTCCCAGGCAGCAATTTGGATTTGCTCCCGAGCAAATCAGACCTTTGATTGATTTCCATAGGGAAATTTCAATCAGGGAAAAAACACAGAACCAATGAGAGCCATTAGGGGCATGCAGGGAAGGATGAGAGGATGAGAGTCCTCCATGCACACACACCCAGCAGCTGCCCCTTGCACGGGGCCTTGATGGGGCAGCGTTTGGGACTTGGATCTTTTCATTCTGGCTGTGGCAGCAGGAAAAACCACTGTTATACATGCACAGCAACAGGAAAAACCCACTGTTATACATGCACAGCAGGAGGATCATGGATCTGGTGCTGGGCTCAGTAGCATCCCAAATGCACCCCAGCAGCATCCCAGGCCGGCTGAGCCCCAGGCCGGGCTCTCACCTCCACCATGACCCGGGCGGGGCCCACAGCGACTCCTCCGGCCCGCCCAGCCCTGCCCAGCCCCGGCCCTGGGCGGTTGGAGGGGCTGTGCCTGCCCTCACCCCGGCACGGGGAGCCTGCGAAACGCGAGGTGCGCTGGCCCTTTAAGAAATCGTGCAAGGTGCGCTGTCCCTTTAAGAGTTCAGCACAGGGTGCGCTGTCCCTTTAAGAACTCAGTAAGAGGTGCGCTGTCCCTTTAAGAGCTCAGCACGATGTGCTCTGGCCCTATAAGAACCCGTGCAAGGTGCTCTGGCCCTTTAAGAGCTCAGCACAAGGTGCGCTGGCCCTTTAAGAGCTCAGCGGGCGCGCTATGCGCGCGCGGCTCCAGGCGCGGCCCCTTTAAGTGCGCAGCTCTTTATCAGCCCCCCCAGCCCCGGGGCCGCCGCAGCGCTCGGGCCTGTTCCCCCCGCCCGGCGCGCCCTTCTCCGGTGTCCTCAGCCGGCCCGGCCCGGCCCGGCCCGGCCCCGCCCCGCCGCAGGTAAGAGGAGCGGGAGGGAGCGGGAGGAGCGGGGACTCACCGGGCCCGGTCCCGCCGCCCCGAGCGGGGCTCCCGCCGCCGGGGCCGCGCTGGCCGCCTCCCGCCTCTGGTCCGCCGCGCGCGGGGCCGGGCGGCAGCCGGGCCAAGCTCTTTGGTTCCGGGGGCCGCCTCGCCCGGGCCGCAGCTCAGTTTTTGGGGAGGATTCGAGCAGATTTGGAGCGCTCGCGTTCCAAGTGAACTAGGTAAAGGCTTCGAGACTGCTTTTCTTGCTAGCAACTCCTCGTTTAGATACAACGGCCGGTTTCCTTCCCCGGTGTAATTTTAATGAGCTCTGCTAATGAGCAGCTCATCAGCGCCCTGTGCTGAAACGCAGCGGGGCCGCTGGGAGAGCTCAGGGAGCACCTTCAGTGCGAGTTGCTCCCGGTTCAGCACAATCACCGACGGGACTGCCCTCGTGCTGTGACTGCTGCTCTGAACACATCCATGGAAAAGCCCCTCAAATTCAGCAGCATCTATCGAGTATCGAGTTAATTTTCCACACAGAAATCAGACGATATTTGGCTGGTTTTAGTTTGTTTAGGAGATGGAAGAGTCACGAGCTTTCAGCCAGCTGGAAGGAAGGAGGGGAAAGCCTCAACCCTTCCAATCCATCAGTTCTGGGGGATCTTGGTGCCAAATTCAGCAGCCCCAGGCCTTGTCTGCTGCTGCACCCAGCTTGGCAGAGTTATTTTATATTTTCACTGGCTCATGTAACCAAAGCAAAGTTAAATGTACATCTCATCCTCCTCTGGGAAGTTCTGCTGTGCTGCAGGTAGCTCCCAGAGCTCTGCCTCTGCTTAATAAGGTTCACCAAACCTTTGAAAGGGAAGTTTGTGCTCCCAAGGAGCGTTGGGAGATCCCTCAGCCCCCCTGGGGGATCAGTGCTGCTCCTGGGGATTGTTCTGAGCCTGGGTTACACAAATACCCAGTGATGGCAATTCCCAGCAGCTCACTATGAACCACCTGGGTCTCATTCCTGAGCAGATCCTCCCGGCCCGCTCAGCAGCAGAGGACAGGAGCCCTAAGAACAGCCCAGAACTGGTTTATTGTCCCGTTCTGCCCCATTTCCAGCGGGCTCGGGGTGCTGCTGTTGGCAGAGAGGCCAGGGAGCTTTGGCTGCTTTCCTGGAGCACTTGGAGATATTGAGAGAGCTCCTGCAGGGAATCAGAGCTGGGGTTTCTGTGCTTGCAGAGTCTCCCAGTCCCAGCCCGAGCCCTCAGGAGCCGAGTTCCAGCTGGAATCCTGGCAGGGCTGGCTTTGCACCCCTTCCCGAGGTCAGAGCTGCTCCTTGTGCAGCCTGGGAGGTCACGGAGGAGCTTTGGGCAGCTCGGTGAGGGGAATCCCCCCCGCTAGCCCAGGGCACACACACTGACAGTCTCGGGCTGCTCCTCCCCCTCGGTGAAGCCGTCCCCGAAGCCCTCGGCCGGCACCAGCTCGGGTTTCCTGCGGCACATGGGGCAGAGGCGGTTGCGCACGGCCGATGATCTCATCCACACGATGAGGTTCCAGCGCTGCCCCGAGGCGATGGGCAGCGCCCCGTGCATCTGCCCCCCTCGGTGCAGCAGCCCCCGGCCCCACACGTGCTCCACCTCGATGTACCGGGGCACCGGGCTGGGGTCCTGCAAGGGCAGGGGGATTTGTGTCACACCAGCAAAGCCCTCAATGGTTGAAATTTGTCACCTCTTACCCACAGCACCCAGGCAGCACCACGGAGAGGGCAAAGCCTCATTCCCAGTGCCAAGTTCAGAGGGAATTGAGAGAGATTCAAGCAACCCCCCCCACTTTTCACTGCTGTGTGAGAGCTTCTACCCCTCTCTTGCCCTAAAAACAGGTGCTAGAGATGAAGCTTGAAGTCACATCTGAAATAAATCTCTCCCTCAGCACCTCCCTGCTCACAGTTTCAGATGTGGAGAGAGGGGATGGTTTGTCTCCAGTTTTTACTGCAAAGCTGCATCAGCCCTCTCTTTAAAATACTGAATATTGATATTGGATGTGGGAATATTGCTACAAAAGAGGCTCCTGTATAGCCAAGCCATGGGGAAGGGACAGAGCAAGTGTGACTGTCAGAAGTGAAGAATTGTTTTGTAGGACACAGTGGATGCCTGGCAGCTGAGGGATGAGGAGGGAGAGGTGGGTGGGACGTGCTCAGTACCTCGTTGAACTCCCCAAAGTACAAATTTCCCTCTGTGAATTCTTTTCCCAGGGAAACGTTCAAGGTGACCTCGGCGTTGTCGTAGTGGGAGCTGAGGTCCAGGTCCTGGTGCAGGGCGTACTTGACGGCGAAGGCTCGGTGGCTGTCCAGGCAGGCCCCGCCCAGCTCCGGGTACAGCAGCGCCGTCAGCGGCCGCAGCCGCTCCCGCAGCGGCGTCAGGAGCCGCTCGTCCATGCCCAGCTCGCCGAGCAGAACCTGCGCCAGGACAGCGCGGGGAGCAGCTCAGCTCAGCAGCCCCTCAGAGCTCTGCCCTCCTCCTGCCCCAGCTCCAGGGCTTTGGAGCAAAGGGGAAAGGAAGGAGGATCAAGGTGGAGAGGGATGGGGGGAACACAGAGTAATAAGATTAAAAGGTGAGTGTTCTTTAAAAACTCTCCTTGATTGAAATTTGGAGGAAGAGAAGCACAGGGGATGAGTCCTACCCCGTAGTTGTTCATGGTGTTGGGCCTGCCCTTAGGCATGTCTGACTGCTCAAAGTTCTCCAGCTCATCCAGCAGGGCCTGGCAGAACTGCTCTGTGAACACTGGGAGCCGATAGATCCTCTTGTCTGTCAGCACAGGGACAGAGGGACAGACGTGCTGGGGACGTTCCCAGTGCTCCTGCTGGCAGGGACAGCACAGCACCCACAGCCTCCCCCTGTGCTGGGACCATTCCCTGGGTCAGCCCTGGATGCATTTGTTGTTTTTCATGCTGGTCCCTCATTTCCACAGCAGAAGGTTCTGTCTGGACCTGGTGCCCTGGATAAATGCAGGAGCTCTGCACACAGACATTGCTGCCCTTTGCCTTGAGGGAAGGAGGCAGCTCTGCCTCTCCCCCTGTGCATCTTGGCAGCTTTTCTGGTAGGCAGGGAGCTTCACTGCTGCCTCCAGGGAAGCTGGAAACCCAGCTCTCCTTTTCAAAGACTGAAATCCAGGCTGAAGCTGTTTCAGCCCAGACTAACCCACAGGAACTGTCTGCAATGGGAAAGCACCCAGGGAGGAAAGCCAAGCTCCCTGGGCTCCTGGTGAGGTGTGGAACAAGCAAAACCCCAGCCCTGCTGCAGCTGGAGCCCCTGGTGAGACATCAGCAGGATGGAAAGCAGAAAACAGGCTCAGATCCAGAGCTGCTGCCTCTCCAGAGCCCCTCCTGAGGCAGGAGGAACAGCCTGTGAGCCTCAGCTGTGCCACAGCAGAGCTGCTCCACACGGGGAACAGCTCTCACCAGGGAGCTCTGAGATCAGAGGTTGTTTCTTTACCTGAGAAGGACTCGAGGTAGCTCAGGAGGCCCTGGAGATCAGCACCTGGAGATGTGCAGAACCTCTCGATTTCCAGAAACTCTGGGGCCAGGAAGGAGTCCTGGTGTCAAGGGAAGGATGGGAAAATCACACAGAAACACGATCAGAGGGAAATGGCTCCCAGGGAAATGCCCAGTCCCTGGGGAGCAGGGCTGAGCACACCTGTGTGATTCCACAGCAGGAAATGCAGAATTGGCTCTGCTGCTTTACCTGCTGGGGCAGGGCAGCTGCTGCTTGCTTTGGTTCGTGGCTTTTTTAGGAGTGACTGGCCAGATTTATCACAGACATGACAGGAAAGAGCCTTTCCTGGCTGGAACACCAGGAACCTTGCCTGGAGACCACACTGTGCTGTTTTTAAAGTGTTAAATCCAGTTTTTGTATGCTACACCTGTGTTTTAATTCAGTGCAGCTTTAGCACTGTGCAGTCCCGAGGAGAGGGGGAAACAAACTGCAAAAATAAAACTCTCAGGTGATTTTTTTTCTGGGTGCAAAAGGGATTCCAAACCTCCTGTGTACCTGCAGCGTGTACACCTCTGGGTGTTTTGGTTTGTAGCACTTGGAGATGATGGCTCTGCGTTCCACTGACTGCTGGGGTAGCTGTTTCCTCCTCTGCACTTCTGCCTCAATCTGCAAGTGAACAACAGAGCACACTGTCAGACATCAGCAGGGCTGAGGGAAACAGCTCCAGGAATCTGCTCCTTGTTTCAATCCAGTTATTTGTGTTTGGGGGCACCTCTGGGACACAAGAGTGTTTGGCTGAAAAAGTGACTGAGGACTTTTCTGTGGAAGTGCCAAGTGGAGCTGTGAGCTCTCAGCCCTTTCAGGCATTCTGACACCTCCAGAATCTGGTTTTTGTTCTGGCAATAGAGGCATTGTCCAAAATAAAGACATTTGCTGGGAGTGAGACAAGTGCTGTCATGGAGGGATTACTGCTAAGTGTGGTGCAGACAGGCTGAGCTGCCCTTCCAGAGCAAACAGCTGATCCAGGCAGCTCCTCCCGTTCATTTCCCCCTCACCAGATTCATTTGTAGCAGTCCTCACCGAGGAGAGAGTGAGCAGCCATTCCCCAAGCAGCTCCTGTGCTCATTCCCTTTCCCTCAGTCCCTGAAGGTCTTGGGATCCAAGCAGACAAATCCAAAAGATTTCTCAGCTCCCTTCCTCTTTCTCTCCCTCCCAGCCCCAAGGTCACAGGGCAGGGATCTGTAACCCAGCACTGCCTAAAAAATCAGAACTGAGTTTGAAGTGGGAAATTTGGACTGGAATTGCTGCTGGACAGGGAGAGCTGTGCCCTCCCCAGCCAGGGACAGCCACTGTCATCTGCTTCCTGCCAGCATTGAATGACTCCTATTGGTTTGTGTAATTTCTAAGTCTCCTCTATGATGTTTATATTGATACATAAACTTTGTATGCAGGTCTGAGCAGATCTGCAAAGAGCCCAGGTGATTAAAAAGTGCTTAGGACCGAGGTGATTGTAGATTATAAATTAGGATCTTGTTTTATAAATTCTGGATCACATTGCTTGTTGTGCTCCATTGATTCTGCCTGAGGAAATCCTGTGCTGTTCTACTCATAAATTCTCTGCTGTATGAATCATAATTATCCAGTTAATAAAGCTTTAATTACAGTATGATTTACAGCCATCATCATTCTGCCAAGAATTCTTTAAAGAACCTGTCTGTCCCCTTGGTGTCAGGTGACATTGGAGCTAGTGAGGGACTGATCCCTGTCCCTGGCCTGGAAAGAAGCAGAAATTCCGTGATAAAGGGTGAATTTCTGCAGGAACCCATCTCGGGGCTGCCTTTAAAAACGATTAGCACAGAAAGGGACGAGGAAAGACAAAGGAGGGCACTGGGAGGCAGCGGGGTAAATCCAGGGAGGGAGCGGCTGGGATGTGTTGACTGACAGGATTTAATCGCAGGGTGGCGGCTGAATAAACTCCGCGCTGAAGGCGCCCGCGGGGAATTCTTCCCTGGGGACTCCGCCCGGCCCCGGGCTGGATCGGGACGCGGTGCAGGAGTCGAGGGGCTCCAGCAGGGCCCGAACTCCCGAGGGGACCGAGCCCCGGTGTGGGGAACCCCCGGGGCTGAGGGGATCCCTGAGGGGTCCGGGGCTCCCCATCCCCTCCCCGGCCCCGGGAGATGCCCCAGCCCGACCCAGGAGGGACCGGGATGGGCAGAGGGACGGAGCAGCTCTGCAGGCAGCAAAGGCTGGCAGGGCTGGGGTGCTCACCTGGGCAGGAGGAGCTTTGGGGTGAGCTTAGGGTGGCCCTGCAGGGGCCGACAAAAAACCATGGAGAGAGACGATTTCCAAGGGCTGGAGTCACAGGACACAGGAAATGGCTTCACACTGACAGAGGACAGGCATTTTGGGGAGAAATTCCTCCCTGAGAGGGAGGTGAGGTCGCGGCACAGGGTGCCCAGAGCAGCTGTGGCTGTCCCATTCCCAAGGCCAGGCTGGAGCAGCCTTGGGACAGTGGGAAGTGTCCCTGCCACGGCCAGGATGAGTTTCAATGTCCCTCCGCACCCAGCCCATCCCGGTGTCCCGAGTCCCCGGTGGCCGTGAGGGGCTCCCGCCGCTCACCTCCCTCAGCACCTCCTGGAACTGCTCCTCGCTCCGGCAGCCGCGCTCCCGCAGCGCCTGCAACACACGGGCCCGTCACCGCCGCGGCCGCCGGCCCGGCCCGCTGCCCCCGGCCCGCCCGGCCCCCGCGCTACCCGGCCGTGGTCCCGGCGGAGCTGCGCCTCGTCCCGGTACCGCACGTGGAGCCCAAACCGCCCCACGAAGATGTTGTCGGTGAAGAAACAGGCGCACCCGCGGAACGGCCGGCCCGCGGACATGTTTCCTGCCGGAGAACGCGTCTCGGTCCTGCCCTCAAAGGGCTCCGCTTCCGTCCGCGGGAGGGCGCATCGGCAAATTCCCAACCGCGGCGAAAACGGAAAGCGGCGGAAACGCCCGTTCTCCCCAGTTTTACGCTCGGTGTTTTTGTCATCTCCGTGACGCCACCGCGGCCCTGTCCCGCAGCGCGGCCGCTGCCCCGGGGCCGGGCCGGGCCCGCTCGGAGCGGCAGCGGCCGCCGAAGGTTCTTTGCAGACGCTCCCTAAGCTGCCCCGGCGGGGGCGCGCGCGGGCGGCGGGGGCGCGCTCCGGGGGCGCGCGCGGCGGGCTGAGCGCGGCCCCGGCCCGGCCCGGCCCGGCCCGGCCATGGACGCGGCGCTGCCCGAGGCCGAGCGGGAGGTGGTGGTGGCGGCCGAGCCCTGCGGCCACGGCAGCAAGTTCGAGGACATCTACAGGCTGCTGGCCGAGGGCTGCTTCCCGCCCAGCTTCTGCTCCATCAAGAGGAAGAACCTCAAGCGCTACGCCCAGAAGTTCGTCGTGGACGGTGGGGACCGGGGGTGGCGCGGGGCTCTCGGGCTGCCCCGGGGGGAAGCGGGCGGTGCCGGCCCCGCACACCGGGGGGATGGATGGATGTGCCGGAGGCTCGGCGTGGAGAGGGGATGGGGTTTCTGGGCAGCGCCATCGCGGCCGCCGCTCCCCGGGCCCGGCACCGCCTCACGGGCACCGAGCGGGCTCGCGTCAGCACCGGCGCTCCACGGCTGCCCCGTGGGGACCGCGGTGCCTTTGTGGTAACGGAGGATTTCACACAGTCCTGGGTGCAGAAAAGCTCCGTGCGTGGGGGTGTTTCCAGTTTCCAGGGGCAGCAGGAGCTGCCCAGGCAGCGCAGCAGGAGCCGTGTCCCAGCTGGGTTCCCCACTGTACAAAATGAGCCTTTTCTGGCGGCTCTGGGAGGGCGGTGTTACAGCCAAACCTCTGGCACCCGCAGGCGGCTGCCTCTACTACGTGGGACCCAAGAAGGAGGAGAAGCGCGAGGTGATCGTGGACCCCGAGCGGAGGCGCCAGGTGTTCCTGGAAAGCCATTTCACCGAAATCGGGAACCACCTGGGCCAGAAAAAGACCGTGCACCGCATCCAGAGCCGGTACTACTGGCTGGGCATCGTGAAGGATGTTGTGGACTGGGTGAGTGGAGAGCAGTGACCGTGTCCGTGACACCGGTGCTGGCAGCAGGCCCGAGGCAGCAGCCACAGGAGCGCTGGTGCAGGGGTGATGTCATTGCCTGGGCATGTGCTGGGAAACCACACACCGAGCTCTCTGCAGGTGAACCTTGCAGCGTCCCCAGGCAGCTGGGCAGCCTGGATGTCTTCCCCTGAGTGTCAGGAAGCCTCCTCAGCCTCCTCGTGCAGTTTTGGTCAGCATGGCAGTGTGGGGTTGTTTCAGACAAGTTGCTGAGTCCACCTTTGGGCAGTTTGGATTCTTTCCAGAGCTGCCCAATTCCCTAAACTATGGCAAGAGGAGGATCTCGGTGTCTGCTCAGCTGCTTTGCCTCGCCTGTTTCATTGCTGGCAGCTCCCTGCAGCAGGACTCTGCAGCACTGTGGTTTAAGGAGTGTGCTTGCATTGCATGGTCTGAGCTCTTCCAGCGTCCTAGGGCTGAGGATTTCTCTAACCAGCACTAGGAGGTCAAAATACAATAAAAATTCGCCTGGAAACTGGGTGAGAAATAGCTTAGCTGTAGGCAACGTTGAGAAATTTGGTTATTGTGTCAGAGAAAGCTGTCAGGTGAGCCTTGAGAAAGGTGAGATGCGTCAGCCTGTTGTGTTTCGCCCTCTTTTTTTCCTGCACCTCGTTATTTTCTTGGGAGAAGGGAAAGTGCTGAGCCCTGCTGTGTGTCTCACGGTGCAGTCTGAGTCTGACAGGATCCATCAGCACGTTCCCAAGTCCTTTGATCCCTCTTTTTTCTCTCCAGATCAAGATGTGTGAAACGTGCCAGAACGCGGAGCACAACAAGAGCGTGACGCGGAAAGCCCGGCCCGTCAGGGTGGAATCCCCCTGGGAAGTGCTGGGATTAGACATCCACGGTGAGTGAGTGTGAATGTCTCAAGTGGCTCTCGGGGCTCCTCCCTCCGGCCGGGAGCGTGGCAGACCTGCTGCCACACGCACCGAGGGAGAGCTGCCGCTGCCTCTGAGGAGGTGCCAAGGAGGCCACAGCAGCCGCCCAGGCTGCAACCCGATCCCTGGGCTTGGCTGGGCTCCCTCTGCACACACCGTGAGAGCTGTGGGCGGGCTCTCTTCCCCAGAACTGAGGCTCCCATGGGTGTATTTTTGCTGACCAAGGTCACCAAAAATGTTCTGGCCAAAGGACATTGCAGAAGAGAGTCGTGGTCACTTCTGCAGCAACTGGGTTTTTCACTTTGCCCATTTGGGGGATATGAGGGCATCATATTGATTTTTTTTTGATGGCTGTTTATGCAGGGCCTTTTCCAGAGACAAGCCAGAGCAACACACACGTCCTGCTTGTGACTGACTACTTCACCAAGTGGGTGGAGGCTGCTCCTCTGCAGAAGAAAGATCCTTTCTCGGTGGCTAAAGCCCTGGCTACTATTTTTTACAGGTGGGCTCCTCTGCTGTTGGTTACTTTACACCTCTGCAGTTGCAGAAATACCTGGTGTCCTCAGCATGTTTTCCTGTGAGATCAGGAACTCTCTCTTCTTCATGCAGTGGCTCTTTACAAAGTCCTTGGGAAGAGCCTGCTATCCTCCTGTTATGGGCAGAGAAGAAAGAGGCAGAAATGTTTCTCTGAGTAGCCCGAGGCCAGGGGAGCTCTGTCCCAGTTCTCTGCAGAAGCTTTAAAGCCATTCCCAGATTTCTCCTAGAAAGTGTTTGTGTCACCATGTGACATTGTCCTTGTGGAAAACAACGTGGGGCCAGTGGAGATTTGAATTCAGAGCAAGAAGCTGCTCTCATTTCTGCTGCTGCCTCATCATTCCAAAGCAAACGGGCGTGGCTGGTTTGGAGCAGAGGGACCAGCAAACCTCTCTGCTCTTGGGGAGGTCACAGCAGCCTCAATAGCACCAGCTCCACTGGAGGGTCCTGTCCCCTTCCTTTCCATTTGCACCCATAAAGATGGAACTCCTTGGGCTCTGCCTCAGCTGATGGAGTAAAACCAGCTGTGTGTCCTCTTCCTGCCCAGGTTTGGCGCCTCCAAGAACATTTACACCAGTCAGAGCTGGGACTTCTGCGAGGAGGTAGGTGTGCTGTGGGCTGGTTCAGGGGGAAGCAGAGTGACCTCCAGCAGGTTTTTAGGGACAGTGTGACCTCCAGCAGGTTTTTAGGGACGGTGTGACCTTCAGCAGGATTTTAGGGACAGTGTGACCTTCAGCAGGATTTTAGGGACAGAGTGACCTCCAGCAGGTTTTTTGGGACAGTGTGACCTTCAGCAGGTCCTGCAGGCAGAGCTGTGATGTGCTGTGTAGTGGGGGCAAGGCGCTGATCCTGCCGTATCCCTGCCCCTGTTGGGAGTGGGAGCTGATTTGCCACTGCTTTCACCATGGCAGGGATTTGAGGTTGTAGATACAGTGGTGCAAGTATTCCCTGCTTAGAAGGAAAGAGCATGTGCACGAAATTCCAGCCCTACCCTGGGATTAATCCAGCTTCCCAGTGCTGTGGAGAGCTTCAAGCACGAGAGCTGTCATTGCAAAACATTTTCCCAGGCTCTAATTTTTCTGGGGAACGTTTTCAGACTGGCACAGGGCAAACAGTGCCTGTCCTGGCACAGGGGGCAGTGCCTCTCCTGGCACAGGGCAAACAGTGCCTGTCCTGGCACAGGGGGCAGTGCCTTGGAGGCTGCTGTGGGGCTGACACGCCGTGATCTCCGTGTTCTCCCAGGTCAGCCGGCACCTGTGCGAGCGCTGGAACATCTCCCAGCTCCTCACACCCACAGAGCCCACAGACCCCCCCAGCCCTGGTGAGCACAGTGCTGAGGTGCTCAGGGCCTCCATCTGCAGCGTGGTGAATGAGAAGCCCAGCGAGTGGGACGCACACCTGGACCCCGTCCTCTTCGAGTTCCGCACCGCGGTCAACTCGGCCACCAAGTACAGCCCCTTCTTCCTCATGTTCAACAGATACGTGTGCCTGTCCTCAGAGGTAACTGCCCGGCCCAGGGGAGCCCTGCAGGAGCTCTGTCACTGCCGTGGGTGCAGAGTAACTCCCAGTCTGTGCCTTGCAGGTGGATTTTGTCAAGGACTCTAAAGAGCAGGGGGCTGGCTCCGGTAAGGCCGACGGCCTCCCGCCGTTCACAGCCACGGTGCAGGAGCAGCAGAACGTGGTGAAGGAGATTGTAAGTCTTGTGGTGCCTTGAAATCATTTTGCAGCTAAGTCCAAGCCTGGCCTGAGAGGAGGGGTGGCACCTCAGTGTGTGCCAAGGGCAGCAGGAGCACAGCTGGACCCTCTGGGCCAGCAGCACAGGGGAGCTGCTGGTGGGGCTGCTCAGAGGTGGGTGATGAAGTAGAAGGGACTGACTTGCCCCATCAGGCTAATGAGAGCTGTGTCCCAGCCTGCCCAGCTCCCTGCCTTGTAATCTACATCCCAAATCAGCCAAGGGAGTCCCTCCCTAGGCAGGGACAGGAAGCCTTCAGGGAGATGCTGTGTAACTGCAAAGGTTTAAAGTAGCCCTGTTCCAAAATGAGAGGTTTGGGCTCCCATGAGGAGTAGTGGCCCAGTGGGCAGGGAGATGGGCTTGGAGAGCAAAGTCAGCATGCAGCTCCTGAGTCTCTGACATGCTGGGTGACCTTGGGCAGCTCATTTTGTCTCTCTAGTCCTTGGTTCCCTCACTTGAAAAATTACCTCAGTGTCCCCTGTGAAGTGCTTGGTGAACTGTGTGCCAAAAAACCACAGACAAGGCTCAAGTGCTTTGTTTGCTCAGTCATTTCTTACACTCAGGGTTGTGTGGTTCTCTCTGATCTCACCTGGACTGTGGTGGTTCTTGCCAGGGAACGACAGAGGGAATATGGGACAGGAGGGAGGAGGGCCTGGGAACAGGAAATGTAGGATCTGATCTCTTTGGCAGCTCAGGTTCACTAGCTCAGCTCCCCTTTTGTGAAATGGAGCTGCAGATCCTGGCACAGGGCACTGAGAGCTCTGTCCTGTCCCTGAGGGAGCCTCTGCTGTTGGGATCTCTCCTGCATCCAGGCAGGGATTGGGGCTGCAATTAACAGGAGGTGAGAAAGCTTCCCTGGGCTCTAGATCCCCTTCTGCCCTCTGCTGACTGGCAGCTCTGAGTGGAATTGCAGTTTCACGTTGCAAGGTCTCCTGCTGGTTTGGGTGGTGAGAACAAGGCTGGGAAGTCCCTGCTGGGTCCCTCCCTTGCCCCAGGTGCATCCAGCTGTGACACTGCCAGCTCTCACTCACTCTGAGCCTCTCTTACGAGGAGAGACCGTGGGAGCTGGGCCTGCTCAGTCTGGAGTAGACTGAGAAGGATCTCATCAACCCACAGAAATTTCTCTGAGGGGTGTCAGATCATTGTGCCAGGCTCTTCTCAGTGGTGCCCAGTGACAGGATGAGGAGGAGTGGCCATAAACTAAACCACAAGAAGTTCCACCTCAACATGAGGAAGAGCTTCTCTCCATTAAGGTGGCAGAGCCCTGGAGCTGCCCAGGGAGGCCGTGGATTGTCCCTCTGTGGAGACATTCCAAACCCACCTGGATGTTCCTGTGTCACCTGCTCCAGGTGACCCTCCCTGGACATGGGGTTGGCCTGGATGATCTCCAGAGCTAAGGATTCCAACCCTAAGGATTCTGAGGTTCTGGGATTCACTGAGCTTGTGCCAGGGCTGAGCTGGTTGCTGAGGGACCCCTGGCAGCCCAACCCCTCCGTTCTCCTGGCAGGTGATCTCCAACATGAGCACGGCCTGCAGGCGCGAGCGCAAGGGCGTGAAAAGGAAAACGCGGGGCCTGCCCTCTCTGGCCTTCAAGGTGGAAGACAACGTGTTTGGGGGCAGCCCTGCCAGCTCCCTGAAGAAGCTGAAGAAGGGGCAGTTTGTGTCGTTCCAGATCGAGACCGTGCTGCCCCCTGAGCAGAGCGTGACCGGCGGGAAGAAGCCCAGTTAACCCTGGGCGTGCCGGGGTCCTGCGGCGCGGGGACAGCAGCGACTGTCCCAGGGTTTGTGGCCTGGCTGTGTGGGAGTGCAGGGTGCAGACGTGCCTGCTCTGTCCTGGGAGAGAGGAAGGGGAAGGTTCAGACAAGGGGGTCTGTTCAGTCCCTTCCTGGTGCGGGTTTGCCCTTGGATCGTCCCTCGGAGCGAGGGAGGTGGCACCGTCCTGGCAGGGAGAGGCTCGGTCCTGCCAAAAAGCTCCACCTCGACTTGGGAGTTGCCCTTTGGGAGGGACTGGGTGCAGAGCAAAGCCCAGGAGTGATCTGGGTGCAGGTGGAAGAGAAGCAGAAGCCAGACCTGGCTTAGCCACGGACAATGTTTCCTGCAGCTTAGAGGTGTCCCTGCTGTGAGCCTGAGCCAGGAATAGTCACTCCAGGTCTGACTGTGCTCCTGGTGGATGTGGGAAGGGCTTGAAGTGAGAGATTTTTTTTTTGTTTTTAATGGTTTGTTTTAAGCACTTATTAGCAGAAATAAAATCAACAACAGAATGTGGTATTTTTGGTTTTGGTTATCTAGGCAGAGAAAAATGAATTTGTCTTTTGTAACGTTATCATTCTGTTCTCTCCAGAAATGGTGCAAACCCCAGCAATCCTGACATCTGTGCCTGTGCTAGTGAGGGTCACGGGTGTTTTTAAGCCCAGCACTCCAAGAACACCTGGAAATTTTGGGATAATGACACTGCCCCTCTGTCACCTGTATAGCTCACCTGGATGCATGGGTACTGTCCAGGGAAGAGCCTGAGCCCTTTCATTCCTTAAGAGTTGGAGTGGGAGGTGAAGGGGAAAATAATTTACAAGCTGGGATTTCTTGAAAGTGGATTCCTCTGTGTTAGGGGTCAATTAAACCCTTGTCAAGTCCCTCTTGAGGGGTTAATTAAACCCACCGAGCCCCTGTTTAAAGATTAACTTAAAATATTATTTCGAGCTCTTTTCCCGGTTGCTTTTGAGCCAACTCCTGTGTTGTATTTTCCCTCTCTACTGCAGAAATGACATGGTATAACCAATAAAATAATTTTAAAATTTTAAAAACCTGTGTATTTGGGGAGGATAAAAAAACCTCCTGAGGCGGGGAAAACTCCGGGGCTGCCTTTGCCGCGTCGGGGCGGGCTTTACCGGGGCGGGGCGGAGCGGGGCCACCGGGGACCCCCAAATTCGGGGTTCGGGGGGGGGTCTCCGGTGCCGCTGCTCGGTCCGGCCGTGGGCGGGGCCGGGCGCGCGCCGCAGGAGAGGGCGGGGGCGGGGCTACGGCGGAGCCACGCCCAGCACCGACCTTGTTCCCGGGACGCGCCGCCGCTCGGAGCGCGCTGATCCCGCCGATCCCCGAGCTGCCGCCGGTAAGAGCCGTCCGGGCGGGCCGGGGCTGAGCTGCTCGGGAGGGGGAGCCGTGCGTGGGGGTCCGGCCGGGCTATGGCGGGCTCGGCCCTTCCCGGGTGTCTCCCCCGCCTCGGGACGTTCTCCTGCGCGGGGAAGGCGGGATGCGAGTGGGGACCTTGGGCGGCTCCAGCTCGGGGCTGGGGACGCTGCTGCGGGTGGTGGGGAGCTGCGATGGCTGCCGCCTCCTCCTCCTTCTCCTCCTCCGTGGGCCGGATCCGCGCAGCTTTGCAGCGGATGGCAGCAGCGAGCACCCTGGGAAGCGTGTGCTGCTCCTCCCTGGCACCGCTGCTCTGCTTTGCGTCCATCCCTCCTTCCCCACCCACCCCTTAAATCCCCGTGCTTCCCCACATTGCAGCCTCTGCCCTGTTTTCCTACACGTTTTAGCTTTTTATCCCATTTACCCGACCACCGAGCGGCTCTCGCCCAAGGGCACAGCTTGTCCGGTGCCAGGGCTGCCCTTGGTCCCTTGGTTCGGTTTTGGGGCGCTGCGGTCGCGCAGGCCGGAGTGTGGCGGACACATGGCTCCCTTAGCGCGGTGCCTCCTGCACTGTGCACCGTCACCAGCTGCTGAGCCAGCACAAATTTCGGGATCGGGCACCTCCCTCTTGCCAACGCGTGGCTCCTCAGGGCACGGCACCGGCGCAGGTGAGCGGCTCGGAGCAGGTCGGGCTTTGCGCCCTTTGCCGGCTCCGTTCGGAGCCTGGCCCGCCATCGCAGACCGGGCGGCAGCGAGAGCAGCGTCCCGCCCGCCCGGAGCCTTCCTGTCCCGCGGGACGCAGCCCTGGAATTCCAATCCCTTTTTAATTTCCTCTCGGGATTTTTGTTGTGTCATTGAACTGCGCGCTGGCTGCACAGCGGGTTCAGTGCTACCCCGAATTAATATCCAGGAGGGCTGGGGACAGTAAGGTGTGGCAAGCTGCGGTACATATGGTTTAGTCTTATTTTGATGGGCGGGATCCGTTGTAGAGCTGAGCTGCTCCCCTGTCTGCGTTCCTACAGTTTTGGCTGCTTGGTTTCAGCTTTGTCCTGGGAAAGGTGGGCAGGGACTCTGGGATCATGACTGTCCAAGTTTAACACCTCCACGGCTCCGTAGCACGGGACATGTGGCTGCACGGATGTGATGGCAGCCACCACAGCCAGATTCCCATCGGGATTGCCAGATTTCTGCTTTGGGATTCAGGATGGGTGAAGGCATCTGGAGGAGAGTTTGTCTTCCTTTGTGCTGCTCATCTAATGAAATACCGTGTGCGGCAGGAGAGGGGAGGGAGGTGCAGATAGTGTGTCTGGGGTCAGGATGGGTTGGTGGGGAGCTGGCACGGTTGTCCCCCCATGTCCTTTCCTTTCCCTGCCTCCTCTCTGAGGTAAATAACCTCGTCCCCCTCTCTCACCCCGCAGCAGAGGCCGCCATGAGCCCGTCCTTGCTGTGTTAGGGCTGCCCCTCCCCACGTCAGTGACCCCAGCCCCACGGTGACGATGCGGGCCTGGAAGGCGGTGGCCAGCACGCTGGCGCTCAGCGGGGCCGATGTCGTGGTCACCACGCTGCTCTACACGCACGGCCAGGGCGGCCGGAACGTCCTGCAGGACCTGCGGCACTTCAACATCTTCAACTCGCTGCTGGACATCTGGGGGGGCTGCCTGTACCGCAGCTGCGTGCTGCTGGGCGCCGCCATCGGCGTGGCCACCAACACGGCCTACGGGCCCCGGCGCCTCCGGGCCTCGCGCACCTTCATCGCTGTCGTCTGCCTCCTCATGGGCATCTACATGATGGTCAAGCTGCTGCTCTACTCGGAGGTGCGGAAGACCATCAGGGACCCCTGGTTCTGGGGGCTCTTTGCCTGGACCTACGTGGCGCTGGCGGCCACCTTCGGGCTGTGGCAGCTGCTGGCCTGCGTCACCTCGTCCCGCGAGGCGCTGGGGCCCAGCTCCGAGTCCCGCGCCGAGGTGGAGGAGAGCTGTGATGGGGGCACCCCGAGGGACAAGAGGGAGGAGGCAGCAGGTCCCACCATCCATAAACTGCTGTCCTACACCAAGCCAGATGCCTTCTTCCTGGGCATCGCCTCCTTCTTCCTCCTGGTGGCCGCCCTGGGTGAGTGAAGGGACCAGGCAGGCCGTGGTGTGCTCCCATCCCCACCAGGAGGGATGGAGGAGCCTCGGTGATGGGGCATGGAAGCACCCTAGGATTGCTTTTTTGGGGGTGCTGGGTGGCACATGCTGCATGGGGTGGGTGAAAAATGCAATGGGGCAACACCAAATGCAATTGGGGATAAAATATTCTGGGAGTGCAATGTCCCCATTGTGTGATGGCCGAGTATCTCTGGGGTGGGGATGTCCACAGGCTGTCAAAGTTGGGAAGCAGTGGGGCTGAACCCCCATGTCCTGTGCTTGTCCTGCAGGAGAGACCTTCCTGCCCTATTACACGGGGCTGGCCATCGATGGCATCGTGGTGCAGAAGAGCATGGATCGCTTCTCCACAGCAGTGCTGGTCATGTCGCTGCTCGCCATTGGAAGGTAATGCAGGGGCTGGATCTGGCCCTGGCAAGGAGTTTGGGGTTCTCCCACAGGAGCTCGTGGCGATGGTGGGCACAGGCACCCACTGCACCGGTTTGCTGCCAGGCCCCAGGGATGTGCTGTGAATTCTCTGAGCAGAGAGGCCGTGGCTGGCAGTCATGAGGCCTTTGTGTGGCCCTTCATGTCCATCTGCTGGAGGTGAGGGAGCAGGAATGGACACAGGGAATGGGTTCCCTGGGCAGTGCTGTTCCAGCAGTGCTGCGTTCCTTCCCAAAACTTGTGCCTACCATGGTTAGGACCAGCCACCACTGTGCTGGTGGCACCCAGGAGAGGTGTGGGCTGGTGATAAGTGGTGTCAGCACTGCCCAGGCCCTTGGCCAGGCGTGGGGGTGTTGGTGTGGCTGAGAGGGTTTCGTGTCCATGGCTCTATAACGTTTCTTATCTGCAATTAGCTCATTTGCCGCAGGTATCCGGGGCGGCGTTTTTACGCTCATCTTTGCCCGCCTGAACATCCGCCTTCGGAACTGCCTCTTCAGGTCCCTGGTGTCTCAGGAGATGAGTTTTTTTGATGAGAATCGCACAGGTTGGTTCCCCTCTCCCCTGGATTTGCTCTAACCCCTCTATCCCATCCCAGATTTTTTCCCCGTGGCTTGCTCTACTGTCATACAGCAGACTGGGGGGCAGCCAGAGGCGGCACCCACTGCTCGTGGTTAGAAATAGAGGCAGAAAGTTCTTCCCTTTCTGTTGCCTCCCACCGTGGGGATGTCCCATTGCCACCCATCAGCCTGGCACCCAGAAGTCCCATCCCCAAAGCTCCCATTTCCTTCCTCCCATCAGTGCCTATTGGTGGGCTGCTCTCCAGCTCTGCTCCTGTCCCTGACACCTCGGATGTGTGAGGTTTGCTGGGTGTGCTTGTTGCTGTCCCTGCTTCCAGTTCAGTCCTGTCCCAGTCCCAGGCCGTGTGTGCCACTCTGGTGTAACTTGCACACATTTAATTTTGTCTCAGTGGTATTTTTAGCTTTGAGGCTGTTGCTGTATTTAGCAGTCACTGCACAGTGCCTTGGTAGCTGAGGGCAGCAGAGATGTTACTGGAAGTGGGATATGGGTAACCCTGGACTTGCACTAAAGCTTGGGAATTCAGCTGGACTCAAACACAGGCCAAGGATTCAGGAGCTCAGTGTGGTGTTTGCTGGCTGTAACACTCAGCTCCACCAAAAGGCACCGCCAGAGCTTCATCCCTCAGTAGCTGTCCCATGTCCTCAGGTCCCTCGGGCCAGCTCCAGGCTGTGGACTGTGTGTGGCCTGTGGGCTGCCCTCCAGCACAGGATGCTGCCACAGTCCCCTTTGCTGTCCTACAGCCACCCTTGGTGACCCAGGGATGTAGCTTGTGCCTGCAGGTGCCACCTCCTGCTCCTCGTGCATGCAGCAATCCGAGCTCCTCCGTTTTGCTTTGCATCCGCAGCGGTGGAGAGTTGCCCCCCTCCCACGCCACCCCGCAGACCCCCAGCTGGTTGGATGGGCAGCTCCATCTGGCCCCTGGCATGGGATGTGGGACACGGTTAGGCAGTGACCTGCAGTGGTGACACGTCCCTGCTCTCCCCTTTCCTGACCCCTCGTTGCTGCAGGGGACGTCATCTCCCGCCTGACGTCGGACACGACCATCGTGAGCGACCTGGTCTCCCAGAACATCAACATCTTCCTGCGCAACGTGGTCAAGGCCACGGGCGTCATCTTCTTCATGTTCAGCCTCTCCTGGAAGCTCTCCCTGGTCACCTTCATGGGCTTCCCCATCATCATGCTGGTGTCTGATGTCTATGGGAAGTACTATCAGGTAGGCAGGAGCAGCTGGCATTGCCACAGTGCTGGGCTGGTCCCCTTGTGAAGCCATCAAGGAGCTTGTGGGTGGCCTTGGAACCAGTGGGAGTGGTGCTGGAATGTTTTGCTGCCAGCAGTGGGGGCAGGAAGGTGACATTAAACCTGTGAGGGCAGACAGGTGTAGCCTGGGCTCTTACCTTGCTTCCTGTTCAGGAGTGGAAGCATCTCATGTCTGATAGAAGAGGTGGCTGGGCTGTGGAATGTCCTGTATGCATCTGCCTGTCCTTGTGCCATCTCTCCTCTCTGTTTGGAGTCACTGGTGGGGTCCCAGAGCCTGGGGCGAGTGGGAAGATGTGCCATGGGCAGCCTGGCACCCACTGAACTCCCTCTGCCTCCCCCTGCTCCCTGCAGAAGCTCTCCAAGGATGTGCAGAGTGCTCTGGCCAAGGCCAACAACACGGCTGAGGAGACCATCTCGGCCATGAAGACCGTCCGCAGCTTCGCCAACGAGGAGACGGAGGCCAACGTGTACTGGCAGAAGCTGCAGCAGGTGTACAAGCTCAACAAGCGGGAGGCCATGGCTTACACCTACTATGTCTGGTCCAGTGGGGTAGGTGGTGACCCTGGGGCTCCATGCATGGGGCTGGGATGGGCAGGGGGGTCTCTCCATATCCCAAAGCACACGTGGTTCTCCTCTGCTCCCAGGGAACTCTGCTTTCTGCTGCCGGTGATCCCCAGACTCTCGATCTTTTGTTATTTTTATCCATCAAAATGGATGGATAAAAATACCCTCCAAGGCGGCGTTGTGTCGTTCCATGGAGCTGCCTCTTTTCCCTGCTTCCATTTCAGATGGGGCAATAATTGACAGGAGCTGGAGGTCGTGGAGCAGCCCGTGGCTGCGTGGTGCTGCAGTGCCTGCCTGTGCCAGGGCTCCGGCTGCGAACAGCCGCGGCGTTGGTTGAGCTTCTGCTCAGCAACGGAGATCTTCTGTGTGTGGGTGGTGGCAGGGGGAGGCTGCTGGGCTCTGGCTTTGGGCTTTTTTATTATTTCCCCCCCCCCTGCAAAATGCTTTTTCATCGTTTAACACCAGATGGTTTGGGATTTCTCCAGGGCAAAACCCTCACGCGAGGCTGCCCTTGTCTCTGCGCGTTCAGGGATTGAGGCAGTCGCTGGTGAAGGGTGTGTGAGTTACGGTGCCTTCATGCACTGTGAGGGACTTCATGGCTTCCCAAGTCTGGAAACAAAATGGGAGCATTATTCGCATGCTTTCTGGGCTCCCAGGTGAAGCTGGAGCATGAGCTGGGTTGACACTGATCCTGACAAATCTGAGAAGGCAAAAGCCCTCAAAAACCGCTCCTGCAGGGCTCACGTAGAAAGAAGGCAATGGATACAGCTCAACCCTGGTAGGGTCTTGGAGGGAACGCAGGAGCTTAAGGTCAGATCATGGCAGAGCTATAGAGGAGGCATTTTTTCCTCCTGTATTTTTGTCTGTGTGAATTTACAACCTCTTCTGGTCCCACAGGGCACTGCTTTTTGGAGCACCTGGGCAGCATGGAACAAAACCAGCTGAATAAAAGGGGCTGGTATTTTTGTCACATCAGGGCTGATCTGTCTCCTTTCTGGAGTAGGTGGTACCCCCCCACAGACTTCAGGTGACAGCTAGGGTTATGCTTCAGGGACTTGTACAGGCAAGGAAGATATTCTGCATTAATTCCTGGCTTGATTTTGTGTTCTAAATTAAAATGTGTCACACTCGTATAGCGGAAAGTTTATTTTAGTGGTGAGGTGACTGCATGCCTTGGATAATTTGAACATAGATTATTATGCTTGAAGATCTCAGTCCAAGAGAGTTCATGAGATGCTCTGTTATTTCAGATAAATTCTGCCTCCTTGGCTGCTGTCCCTCGGGACTTGTTTTGTTGAAAGATATCTGCCCAGCTCCTTAAATCAGCCCATGTACTTGAGTTGTTTTTCTCATTTCCCTGCTCGCTCCTAGGGCTGTCAGCTGCTCTGTCAGAGATCCTCAGCTCAGGGCTCAAAGAATAAATGTCAGCACATGAAGTTTGGGCTGTTGTGTGAATAATGACAAATGCACCAAAATATCAGTTTGTCCTTGCTGATTCTGGGGTGTTTTCTTGCTTTCAGCTGACCCTGCTGGTGGTCCAGGTCAGCATCCTTTACTATGGAGGGCACCTCGTGATCTCTGGGCAAATGACGAGTGGAAACCTGATATCCTTCATCATTTATGAGTTTGTCCTGGGGGACTGCATGGAGGTGAGTCAGTTTTAGCAGGGAATCCCAGAATGGGTTGGGTTGGAAGGCACCTTAAAGCCCATCTCATTCCAGCTCCCTGCCTGGGCAGGGACACCTTCCACACCTTCCCAGGCTGCTCCAAGGCTCATCCAACCCGGCCTTGGACACTTCCATGGGTGTGGAAGCTTCTCTGGGCATCCTGTGCCAGGGCCTCCCCATGCTCTGGGCTACCCCTTCTATCTCCCAGAAGGTCCCAGGGATAGATCCAGTGCTGACTTTCCCATGACTCATTTCTTTGGTGCTGTAGCAGATTCTCCCCTCTGCTCCCCATTCCTCCCCTGCTGTGGTCTCACAACCCTCGTGTTCCTGAAGCAGCTTGTCCCCCAAAAAGGCAGCTGGGAGCAGAGCGGTCAGGCTGGCCCTGCTGAAGGGCAGAGCCCTGGCTGCCTGCCAAGCACATTTCCTGGCCTGAAGAATGAAGGGATTACAAAGCTGCCTGTTAAATTTCAGGCTTCATTAAAAACTTAATTATATTACTTTTTTTTTCCCTTTCCCAGGAATAGGCTGCAAGCTGCTGCATTGGCAGCACATTAGCAAGATGAGATTGTGGGTGGGATGGTAGAGCCCACCCAGGGCTGCCTTCCCCTTGCAGAGGCATAAACTTGGCTAATCCAGGCAGGAATGATCCAGTCGAGGTTTCCTCACAGCCAAGTGTGGTTTTGGTGGTGCTTCAGCCTCTGTGCAGGGGCAGAGCAGAGCTGGAGGCAGCTTGCCTGGCTCTCACCATCTGCTCAGATCACTGCAGACTCTGGTGGGGTTCCCAGGCTGTGGTTTTGGTGTGGATTCAGTTCGGTTTGAGGGGGGTTTCCCCCTCCTGTGGGAGGGCCAGTTACAGTACAAACTGTTCTGCAGCTCTGAGTTTAATATTGAAAAACACCCTTCCCCTGGGCTGTCCATGTATCCCTTCCACACCCAACAGAGGAGGGAGAGTTTTCCTTCCCTGTGTCCGATGCCTGCAGCCAGCATCAGGCGATGGGAGACTTGGGAATGCCTCAGCCATTCCCTTTGGAGTGGCACTGGCTGATTCCCCCATCTCCTGGCAGGGTCTCACCGCTGCCTCTTCCCTTGCAGTCCATCGGCTCCGTGTACAGCGGCCTCATGCAGGGCGTGGGAGCTGCTGAGAAGGTTTTTGAGTTCATTGACCGCCAGCCCACCATGGTGCACGACGGCTCCCTGGCCCCGGATCACGTGGAGGGCAAGGTGGAGTTCAGGAACGTCAGCTTCTCCTACCGCACTCGCTCTGCCACCCAGGTCCTCCAGGTGAGCCCTGTGGGCACTGCCAGCACCACGTGCTGCTGCTCCTTCCTGCCAGGAGCAAAGCCCAGCCATGGGGAGGTCAGCTGCCTGTCAGAGATGGGTACAGGCAGCCTCAGTGCTTGCTGGAAAACAGATTAAAAGGAGCAGCGGGTGTTTAGGGCCGGCCTTCCTTACAAGGAATGAGATTTATTAATAAAAGCCTTGTTCCCTGCTCAGGCATGAAACATGTCAGCATGGTACAGGGCTTCGTGCCAAGCTGCCTCAGACTGCTTCCGTGGGAGAGGGGCTGGGATCATGAGACAGGGGGAAGAGGCAAAGAGGTCAGTTTGCCTTTTAGAGGACCTGCTACATCAGCAGGCAAATCTGAAGCAATTTGGAGGCTTTTTGCTTCCTCAGAGCCAGGAGAAATGGCTGATGTGGCACATCACCAAGGCAGAGGGGCACTCTGGCCAGATTCTGGCTCCTTCTCTTGTGTAGTGCCCCAGGACGCTGAGAAAAGCCTGGACCTGAGCACGCTCTCCCATCCCTGTTGCAGGACGTGTCCTTCACCCTGCACCCTGGCAAAGTGACAGCGCTGGTGGGCCCTTCAGGGAGTGGGAAGAGCTCCTGTGTCAACATCCTGGAGAACTTCTACCCGCTGCAGGACGGGCAGGTGCTGCTGGATGGGCGTCCCATTAACATGTACGATCACAAGTACCTGCACTCCGTGGTACGAGCCACTGATACTGTATTCTGCTGGGGATACCTGAGCTCTGCTTGGCCCACCTGCCACCTGCAGGGCTCTGAGGGGATGCATGGCACTGCTGCACGTTGCTTTGGGTTTCATCTGGCAGAAATGTCCAGAAAGCTGGAGGCTGGAAGTGGCCCAAGAAATGAATTTGGATAATTTGTGGGGGCGGAAGGGAAGAAGGGGATGGAGGGTGGTTTCAAGGGGAAGGGGAAGCCTTCCAAAAACAGAACAAAAAACATCTTTTGTTTGGTATTTTTTGGCCAACACAGTAGAAATATGTTTTTGGCTGTTGGATTAATTATCATCTAAATTGGGTTTGGAAAAAGAGTTTTGTATTCCTCCAGCAATTTCTGCCTTAAGATCTTAGAGTAATTCTCAGCTAATGGGGAGTTAAACCTCTCAGGATCCTGGCAGCAGCTGGAGCACCAGAAGGGCTGGTGCTTTGCCTAGGAGAGGGGTCTGGGCCCCTCAGCTCTCATCTGTGTGTCAGCACAGATCAGCCTTCATCTCTGCAAGTAACTGCCTCCTTTGTTTGCCCCCAGAGCAAATGGCCTCAGCAGTCAGCAGGAAAACCTGAAAACAATTGATCAGAGAGAGGCTGGAAAGCCAAAGTCACTGTGACTAATTTACATTCCCTGCCCGTACAGAGTGAAAATCAAAGGCCAAGCAAATCTTTCAGTTTAGAAAGCCTGGTGTGGTGTTCAGGGCATGGGGAGAAATGAATTAAAATATGACCGTGTCTCCCTGGCTCTCTCCTGCACAATTCTGAGTACTAGTTTGAAAGGTTTGATTTATTCCAATATCAAGGGTTTGATAAAGCAGCTGGATGTGGCAGTGAACAGCCATGGCTGTTAGGCAGGACAGGGGGAGTGTTGCTAAGCAATTTGGAATTGCAGCAGTTACCTCCCTAACTTGCTCATTTGGTATTAAAAGATGCCAGAGGGCTCATTCACATGGCCCAAGTGTGACTACTGGGCTTGAAAGGAAAATCAGCAAGGGCCTGGGAGAGGATCTCTCCAGCTTGACTTATCCCAGCAACTGGTTTTCCATTCTGGGAAAAGCAAACAGTGATGGGAATAACAGACCTGGAGCAAAATCACAGCAGGCTTTAGGAGGGTGAAGCCCACCCCAGATGCCAACATCCCAGCATTGCATCAGGTTTCCTTCCAGCAGAAGGTGCCAACTGGGCACACTGATGTTGGCATCCTCACTGGAAGCTCACCTTCAGCACTTCTCTATCATAGTTAATGACATTTCTATATCTTGGAATATCTATATATCATATCTATATCTATAGCAGGAACAAATATCAATGGTCAGAGATATCATGCAGTGCATCTTCTGCTCTGAGCCCTGCTCTCCCTTTGCCTCCTGCAGATCTCCCTGGTGAGCCAGGAGCCCGTGCTGTTTGCCCGCTCCATTGCAGACAATATTTCCTATGGCTTGGCCTCAGCCTCCTTCGAGTCCGTGGTCCAGGCTGCCCAGAAGGCCAACGCCCACAACTTCATCACCGAGCTGCAGGACGGCTACCACACAGGTACCACCCACTGCTGCTGGGGCTGCCAGCTGCACGCCCTGCCAGCTCTGGGATTCCATTCTGACCCCTCCCTCTCTCCCTTGACCCAACAGAGGCAGGGGAAAAAGGAGCTCAGCTGTCAGGGGGGCAGAAGCAGAGGGTGGCCATTGCCAGGGCCCTGATCCGAGCCCCTCCCATCCTCATCCTGGACGAGGCCACGAGCGCGCTGGATGCGGAGAGCGAGCACGCGGTGAGTGCTCTGGTGCCCTGTGTTTGGGACAGAGAGGGCTGGGAGGGTGCCCTGGCTGCCTGGGACAAAGAGGGCTTGGAGGACAGACTGCAGCCTCAGTTTCCAGCCAGTGGACAAACTTATTCTTGATATGTGCCATCAGAGGGTTGAGTGAAGTGCTAATTCCGTAGCAGGCATTTTATTCTGAAAAGGAAATATTTCCATGCTTACAGCAGCCAATGCCTGACAAACCTGATGAGGTAGGGATCTTTGCTGATTTTTTTTTTTCAATGTGGAAGGTGTTAATTGGCATACAGACTCTGTGCAGCCTTTTAGGACAGGATACAGAGGAAGAGCCTATAAAATAGTGCTGCAGCAAGGAGAGTAGGAGTGACTGAGCTCAAATCCCAGCCAAGGCACAAAGGAAGTCACACTTGCAGGAAAAGCCTTGCGCATCCTATAAACTGGTTTATCTGTCTGGAAGTTTTGCAATTACACAGGGGAAAGGCTGTTCAAGGTTGGGATTTGAGGATGTGCCTCCAATCCCAGAGGACAAATCCTGCTGGGGCAGCACAAGTGTCTGACCTTGGAGCAGCTTGCTGCCTCACAGGCCCTCAGTCACGGGTGTGGTACCTGATGCCAGCCCAGGGCTGGTTTTGGCTACCCAGGGGTGTCAATGTGACATTTGCCTGATGGCCACCTGCCTGCCTTTAGACGTCAGTGCTATTGTCTCTTGACTGGAAAAAAACCTTCTCTTGCCTTACCTTGATATACTGAGGAAAAAATCCTGCTTTACTCAGCAGCTGCTTTCACCAGATATTGGCTTCCTGCAGTCTCTGCCAGCACCACGTGGCCTCCAAATTTGGGGCCCAGCTGTAACAAGTCCCCATCTTGCAAGACCAGACCTGTGCTCGTAGCTCACCTGGCTGGACTGAGATGATCTTTGGGCTGGACATGCTGGTGCTGGCAGTGCTGCAGGGAGCAGAGCAGAACCCATCCCCTGTGCAGAGCTCTCTGGCCAGAGCCCACAAAGCTGCTGCTGTCCCAGCGGCTGGGCACTAACGCCTTTTCTCCCCGCAGATTCAGCAGGCGATTTACGGCGACTTGCAGAACCACACGGTGCTTGTCATAGCTCACAGGCTGAGCACTGTGGAGAGGGCACACAACATCATTGTGCTGGACAAGGGCCGCGTGGTGCAGCAGGGCTCGCACAAGGAGCTGATGGAAGAAGGAGGCCTTTATTCCAAGCTGGTGCAGAGACAGATCCTGGGGCTGGAGGGGGGCGGCACGGACAGTGGCCAGCCCGCAGCCCGGGGGGACGCGGCCAAGGCGCCCGGGGGGCTGGAGGAGGAGTTCAGGATAGACCATTCCCATTCCCTGCCGGCCGCCGCCACGGCACAGGACGATTTCACCAACGCTGCCGCGCCCAAGTGAGGGCGGCCGGCGCTCGGACGCTCCCTGGGATGGATGGAGGTGGCAGAAAGAACAGCTGGGATATGGAGGTGGCAGAACGGCGCCGCTGGCTCGCCCCACGTCACACACCCTGCACACCCAAACACACACCATAGAGCTTCCTGCAGGACGCCTGCCAGCCGGCAAAGCAGGGATTCACTCGAGGGAATCCTTAGCAATTCTCAGCATTTCTACTGGGTTTCTTTTCTTACTTCCAGTAACTCCTCTCGACTGGGACTTTTCTCCCATCGATCTGCATGTGTAACTGCTATTAACTGTAATGGATGTCAAATGCATGCGTGGAGTGGGGGGACGGTTGAAAACCCCTCCAGGAATTTCAGGGGGTGGCTTTTGTGGCTGGATAGAAAAACTGACTGTAAAGCAAGGTCCTGCTCCCTCTGTCAGTCTATGGGGCTAATCCAAAGTTGGCTGAAGCCTGTAGGGAGTTCCCTTTGGCTTTGGTGAAAACTGGATCACTCCCATGGAGCTGAATGCAGGAGAGTTTTGCACTGAGTGCCTGCAGGCTCAGGCTCTCAACCATTGCTGCTGAGCTTGTATTACGTAGTATCCATCCTTGCTGGGACAAGCCAGGGGACCGGGAGGCAGATGTTACTTTCTGATTTGCTCTTGGTGCTTGGTGGGTGTTTGTTTTTAAGGATGAAACGTTTTACCATAACTGGGTTAGGTTTTGGGGCTTGGGGTTTTTTTTTGTTCGATTTGTTTGTAGTTTTTTAACGTTATTTGTGTGCACTGTGCAATGTCTGTCTGGCTCCAGCATCCACTGAAAATTGGTCTGTTACTTCAGAATTTTTTTTAACTCACAACCCCGGTGCTGGTGTGAAAAAAAACACTACTAAAGACAGGCAAAAAACACTAAAAAACAGCACTTTATAAATCCCACCAAAGCTTTGTTCAGCTTCAGGCCATGCTAGCGACTTCACTGCATGGGAAATCCATTCTGTCACGTTCCTTGAAGTCCAGCTTCAGCTGCCTGAACTTTATAATGTGTTTCTTTGAATATAATTTATTTTAGTATGAGGGACAGAAAGAAATGTGTTGCTCCTAGCCCTTTGGGGTAATGGCTCTGGCTTAGTAGTGTTATCCTGCTATAGATTGGTGAAAAATCCTATGCAGCCAGGCAAGTGCTGTTTTAAAAATAGCATTTCTAGGGGAACACTGACTTCAGACTCTGCATAGTTAGGAAATTCTCTCAAGCACTTTAGCTCTCATGTTTTCTGATACTTGAATGCTGCTGCATTTTCCTTTCCAGCAGGTTTGCATTTTTGTTATTGGCAATGTTTTGTTTTCATTTAGTGATGTTTTACAAACTCTAAATTTAGTGTCCTTGAGGAGGGATGCTCAAAAAAAAAAATAAAATACTACCTCTGCCACTCAACGTCGAGCCGCTCTGGTTGGGGGTGTTTTTTGCTTTCTGGGTTTTCAAGGTAACGTTCATCTGACACCACAGCTGAATGCAGCTGCTCCTGCACGTGTTCTGGGGAATGACAAGAGGAGCCCACAGAGAAGGAGGTATGTAAAACACTCCAGCATCTGATAATGGCTGTGAGCCCAGCAGTCAGGATAACTCATTTCCATCCTGATCCCGTTGGGTGTCAGTCTCCCAGAGAAGGACAGGCAGTCTAACCTGTTCTCAGAGCGTGGTGCTTCCTGGCTGGAATCTTTTCAGCTGCTGGCTTTTGTGATATGATAACAATCTGTGCCTCAGAAAAAGAACAAGATCTCTTTTTGTTTTCCCTCCCTCCGCCTAGGGAACTTGTGTGTGGTGCTCTGAGCTCCTCAATCATCCTTCAGTAAATGGCCAGGAGTTCCTGCTTGAGGAAAATTTGCTCTGTGGGTATGAGGAGGTTGGGGGTTCCACCCAGTGCTGACAGGCAAGTGATTAATTCTGCATTTTCATCAGTACCTGGGAGCAGAATGTGGCCACCGGCTCATAGAAGTGGAATTGATTTCTGCTTAATTAAAAAACTGGGGGAAAACCCAAATTGGCTGCCTGGGAACTAGGGAAGCCAACTCACCCTGCACAGTACTGGTAGGACAATGGTCATTAGTAACATGAGATGCCCAGAAAGAGAATTTGATTGTGTCCTGTGTGTCCCTCGCAGGCATGACTGCAAAAAGGGAACTGGAGGATGCAATTAGATCAGTTTTATTGCAAAAATGCTGCACTGAATTTCAGGAAGGGAAGCTTGTTTCCCAAGGCTGCTGTGATGATAATCCCAGCTTTGTATTCCCAGGCTGGGTCCAAACAGCTTCGACTGAAATGGCACTCTGGAAACAGCAAATTGTCTCTGCTGGTGGCACCAGTCCAAGCTGATAACAGGCCCTGACTTTGTTCATTGCCACAGGTGCTGAATTCTCTCTTCTGCATCCAGATAACTCAAGGCTACTTTTCCCCTGAGCCTCTCATCTTGTGGCTCTAACAGGCCCTTTTATTGTGCTGTTGGCATGTGTGACAAGTGGCACTGCTTGTGTGCTAAAGCTGGGAGGGTTTTCTATGCCCTGGAAGATGGGTGAGAGCTCCACACAGCACCAGGGAGCCAGCAGAATTAATCTAATGCAGATCTTTTTGCCTGCACCAACCCTGGGACTGCATAGAAAATCCTGCCTTTCTAAATCGTTCCAACTACAGCTTCTTTTTGAAGTGAAAATCAGGGTCAGCCGTGCCCATTAGCCAGGCTCAGCCTGGCAGTAAAGCTGTGCTTCACCCAGAGCAGCAGTGGAACTGCTCCAGTGCTGGAACAGGAGCTGCTTCCTGCCCAGTCCCTCGGGCCTGGCTGCCTGGGGCCAGTCTGTGTTTCAGGCTGTTCTCCTGGAAACAAGGCCACTGTTCCCTCTGAAACCCTGGACTGTAGAAATGTGTGGCTGTGGCTTTGCCCAGAGCTGGGAACGTGAACAAAATCAGTTTCAGAGCTTCTCTGTTAGAGTGATGGAGATAAAAACTTCTTTTTCTTCAAAGGGGAAATTCCTCACAGGGAACTCCGAGGGGTTCATCTGAAACCTTAACCTGGGGGCACTGAAGACTGTCCTGGCAGAACTGTAAGCAATGAAGCATTTGAAAGCACAACTGATTGCAAATTGACTGTATATCCCATGGCAGGTTGTTTGCCTCACTATTAATAAGCTCTAACCATTCCCTGTAATAGGTATAACCACAGCTTTATTTGATTCAAACAACAGTGAACCCCATGCAAGGTGAAATCTGAGAGTGGATCCTACAGTCCCAGAGCCTCCCCAGGGACAGGGATTTACCCTGTGCCTTTGCACAGCCAGGGTCTGTGGCTGACTGACCCAGTAAATGAGCACTCAGTGATGGAAAAAACACAGCTGTGTTTATTCCAACAACTTGTCTCCTGCCACACCAACCTCTGCCTCAATAACCAGCTGTGTGTGTTCCAGTGGCTGCACTTTCTAGGCCTTCAGCAGCTCTGGAAGTGCCACAAGCAAATAGAAAGTGCTTCTAGCTCGGGTTCAGAGATGTGGTTTAGTCTGGGGAGGAAAAATAAAATCTGCCTCTTCTATTCCAGCTTCAATGTGAGCTTAAGGCAAAGAAAATAAGTGCAGGTAAATAGACCTGCTGCTCTTCTGACACCTGCAGCTCCCTGAAAGGAAGGAGCACCTTACAAACACCCAATTCCTCTCTCTCTCAGACAGCAGGGGCACTGATCTCTCAAACAGAAGGGCTGATTCTCTGCCAGGATGCTGGATATGCAGGTCATTTCCATTTGTGAAGGAATCTGGGTTGTGAAAACTAAACAGAAGTATGGGCTGTGCTTAATATACAGAAGGAAGTTAAAGTGCAAATAAGCCCCAAAACTCATCTGCACATTAAGCAACCAGACTAATAGGGGTTAATGTACACCAGAGATGAGATTTGCAAATTCAATGTGTACATAACCAACCTGTTTGTCCAGGAAAAGAAAATAAGATGTGAAGGTGACTTGCAAAATATGTCAAAATCTAATAAATATGCATGAGGCCAGTGCTACTGACCGTAAAAGGATATGAGGTACCAGGAGGAAATTCAAGATCAAGTTTAAATAGAAAAAAAATACCTAACATCTTATTTAAACTAGTCTGGATGCCAGTTCTCTTCAAGATTGGAGTTTGACTTCTTATTCACCATGACATGGTTTCCCCTGTAATCTTCACAAATTTTTTATTCCATTTCTCCTGTAATAAGAAATCCTGACTTCTGTACCTTGCCTGCTTACAGTTCTAATGTACTCGACTGCTGTCACCCTTCAAAAGGATTTCAGCAAAGGCAAATAGGAACCAAGCCTGGGGAGATGATAAATCCCAGCCTGCAGCACTGCAATATTTGATAAACCCTGTAGCCCAAAATCCTGGTTTATCTGCAATCCTTCATATCCTGTCCCAGTGATGTGCTGTCACAAAACCTTTATCTTCCATGAAGGCTGCAGAATGGGAAGGCACCCTCCTACCTGTCCAAATAGAAAATATAATTACACAAAAGCAGTTGACTTCTATCTTGTGTCTCAGCCTCAGCTGCGTTTCTGGACAACTGGAGAGCTCAATTACATGCAGGTGCTGACCAAAGTACTCAAAAACAACCCAGATGTTTAATGCAGGCTTCTCTCCACCATCACCAGAACCCAAATTACCCACCTAGGGAGAAGCAATATTCAATGTATGTTGTACTTGAGCACAAATGAGTTATGTTCTCACCTGTGACTGAGCAGTTCTTATTATCTCCTTTTTTCAGCAAAAGGCACCATGGTTGAGGGAATCTGAGAACTCCACTCAGGATCACACAGTGAGGCAGCGGTAAAACTAGATTTGCAACATGAAGCTGAGTCAGACTCCTCTGAACCACACTCCCCCCTCCAACCATTTATTTAGTTATGGTATGAAGTTCAAATTAGCAATGTTCTTGGGAAGAAAGGGCTTTACCTAATCCCTCAGCTAATTCCTCTGTTTGCATGTGTGTATATGTGTACGTGTGTTTGCATGAGCAGATTTCCAGCAGGTTTAACCCGTGGCTGTAACCCTGTCTGATGGGCCTGTGCAAACACAGGAATGGTGTTGGCAAGGTGACTATCTGCTGGATTTAAACAGCAAGGCAGGGCTGTGTGACTGTG